CAAACTTTGAGTCAGAAATATAATAACAAACGTATATTTAAAACTGATTTAATATTTCAAGATCAAATTAATCGAGCTTTATAATGGTATATTTACCGATAGAAAATTCATTATTAACATTAAAATTACGGATTATTGGAGAAACATATTCTCTGATCAAAGAATCTTTTAATTCGCGTTTATATACGGATGCTTTTTTTTAAAAAAATAATATTCGGTATAAACATTCATGAAAAATGTGATTTGAAAAAAAAAAAAAGCTTAGGCAAGAAAATAAGAGCTATTAACCCATTTTGAAATCAGGAAAAATTTTAATAAAAAATAATATCTACACATTAAACACGAGATGTCGCTCATAAAATTGGATCATCTAAAAGAAAATTTAATACCCAATTAACAAAAGAACAGTAATAAAATCAAGACTGTATTTTATATTTCATACCTTCAAAGGACATTTTTGGTATACTTCGCTTGTAATAAAATAGCTGTCAGTTCCATCAGGCCTTCATTTATAAATAAAATGAATGAGTATATCTCACGAAAACACCAAAAGAATTGATGGCGCAAACTTACCATTTTATATGAACATAATTATCACCAGCATCAGTTTCACGTACAATATTCAAAATAGTAGCATGATTTTCCCAACTACCGTGATCATTTGGTTTAAAATAATAATTTGTATTTTCACAGTCTTCATCAATAATTTTCAACCATTTAGGAATTTCATTAATGTTAATTTCACAACTTCCATCAGTATCGTCGCCATTGATCATGTGAATGTCATCATCTTTAACATTTGAACCGTTGGCTTCTTGAATGGTACGGGTCACACCTGAACCGGATTCTTGGGATTGACAATCTCTATTAGGACTTCCTCTTATTTTAGAGATATCCTTATTTGACCAATACATTCTGGTCAAAACTGGTGCGTTCCTATGAAAATAAAGTACGTTTAATGTATTAGAATTTATGTTTAATTTTCAGATAAAAGTTAAATAACTTACATGTCTTCTTCGCTAACCCAACTATTTTCGTTTTCACTAAAACCTTTCCATTTGAGCAAATATTCGACACCATCCTAATTAAATAGGACATTTCATGAATACTGTTAAGGCAACTAAACCTAACAATCTAATAAACTTACATTAGATCTAACACAGTGGTCAATGATAGACTCGACTTCAAAATCTAGATTAGATCCATCTGACTCATTAACACCATTTTGAATCGACTCGTCACGATTATTTGTAAATGTTGATATTGGCAAATGTTCTTTTATGGACATTTATATTAAAGTTTATGAAACGATAAGTTGAAGGATATATAAATCATTTTTCGAAATGCTATATAGCAAATGAAGAAATATGACTCATTATAACGAGACTACCTTGTCTTTATGAATGATCTCGGTTGAATGAATTTATTTTACACACGTCATCAACGGTTCCGCAGATAAATCAATATTTTTTTAATTAATAAAGGAATAAAGAAAGATTTATAAGTATCTATTTATTCATTTTTAGAGAATGTGCTTTCAATGTCCATGTAATTTGATACTGTGCTTTATTTTAATCGACCTTGAGTACCCTTCGATATTACTGAAATTGAAAATAAATCACCTGATTACAGATAATATATTTTACAGATAAATCACATGAAGATGATAAGTATTTTCAAAAAAAAAACTTTTACCCAGAGATCGATTCAATGTCTTGGCAATTACCAAAATAATTATGCTAAAACTGCATTTTCTTTTTCATTTCTTGGCGTTGATCAAATGATTCGTTTATTAGTAAATTTTTTTTTATACACGTTAATTAACATGTTCCTTTAATCGATAAGGTCAGGTATATCTCATAATATTTGGGTGAAAACATTATTCCGTACATTATAAATAAAAGGTATCAAAGTCATCGTGGTTATCTGTGAAGAAAATCAAAAGTGTTTCGGGAAATTCCGAAATCCAAGAACCCTTGATCAACAATATAACATTCCATATCAGGTTATCCATAAAATATAACACGTAAAAGTTCAAAGCACTTGTTTGAAAATGGTACGATTCATCATTGGCGTACTTTTTTGTTTGAATTATAAGGATTTTGTAAGATCTGATATAGATAAGAGAAGGAATTAATGGTTAGATACCAAATACCTATCCTGTTGAACTTGGAACTGTAATGTAATTTATAACGGGCATGTGATCGCACAGTCAAAGATCGATCACCCGGGAGGCAACCAATTATAAATGGAAGTAGTTCCGAACATGTGATTATCCCTGGAAAATGTTATATCCAAAAGGCTTCGCTTCGGGATGAACTTTAGGAATTTGTCAATTTTGAATTTTCATATGGATTAATTCGGTTAATCATTTCCAAAACTTGTTTGAGTGCGTACTCGTTAGTAATTGTTCTCCATCGTTTGTTTTCTAATTTCGTAGGAACAAATGCATCATTTAATTTTCCAGATACGGATTTCAAAAGGATTTAATTCGTTTCTAAAATTATTTATGTTATGTCTCCTCCTATTATTATCATCCAAAAAAGTTTTGATTTTTTTGAAATTGTACGATATTAATTTAGGGTTTAAAAGAGCAAAAGAACCGAGTTATCGTTGTACATTTGAAATTTTATACCTGATTTGAAAGAGATAAAAAAAATGATGGAGGATTTTACTGGATATTACTATGATGAAACCGAACGCGAAGGATTTATTTGACCCTCTTTTTAAAATGATACCAGTTAAACCATATTAAGGAATTTGGCTTCCGAAATTACCTTCTTTTTTCGTACAAATCATGCTAGTCAAATATAATAACGCGTAAACTAACATTAAAAATATCGATTAATAAATCACCAGGACGCGCAGTGTAACATGAATTTTCTAAACAGAAATTTTGTATTTTTTTTTTTTTTTTTTTTTGATTTTTTCGCGTATAAATCTAATTGATTTATGTGGAATATGTCGGGCGCGAGAAAAATATTTTTCATTATCTTGGCAATTTCTTTATTGGATTCACCCATTGATCATTAATGCAGTCAATAAAGTAAGATTATCACCATGTAAATATTTTTATCAGGAAAAAAAAAAAAAAAAAATTTTTAATGTAAAAAATAGATTGATTTGTTCTCTTTTTTTTTTTGTCGCTTATTTAATCTAACATCTTTATTGATAAATAAATCGAGAAATGTGCGACGAAAGAAAATCAGGCGACTTGTTTAGGAAAAAAATGAATAAATGATTAATACCTTTTTTAGTCATTAATTTTTAAGGAAAAAAAAAAAAAAAAAAAACAAATAAAAATTTAAAAAGTTGAAAGGAACCAATCGCCTTTATTGAACTTAATATCCAAACAAGGAAAAAAGGGGCCTGTACCGTAAGTCACCCTTAATTTGTTTACGTGGTGATCTTGAATGTGTTTTCCTCTTCATGCGCAGCTAGGTAATAGCCGAACATATTATTAAACTCCTTGGCACAGCAAAAACCCTTGCGCCCCAAACCTTCTTAAGCCACAAATACATTCAACTTTTTTGTTTATTTAGAAGATTAGAAAAGGAAGGTTTAAACTATGAATGTAATTAAATGCTTAAAATAAAATTATTTGTTTATTCCCGTTAATGGTACTCACCTACATTCAATGCATTTATTATTATTCATGTAATATGTTTGTAAATTATTTCACTAGTCCATGCGGAGCACAGAGAACATAAGTTTTTCGGTTACATTTTATTTACCGCAGTTTACGAAATATTATTACATTTAATGATGTTCAATGTACTTTAAAGTAAATAAAATAAAAATATTTGATGTCATTTTAATCATATATTTGGAAGTTGCTCCTTATTTTATCATCCACCGAATATTTTTTGGCCTATCATGCATTAAAAGAAATTCCTCAAGTCGTCCATTCACATCGTAATTTGTTTTTTTCTTGCCATTCGTTACATTTCAATTATCATAATTCTTTTCTTGCTGTAAAATTTGTTCAAAATAAAATTAATGAATGATTAAATGTAATTTGGAAATCCGTTGTGTTTCTCCAATGATCCCACTTCTATATTAACTTTGACTAAATTTGTATTTCGATATCTTTGATTGTAAATGTACTTTTTGAACACTTGTTTGAAACTGTTTTCTCGTCGTATTTGAAATATTTTGTGTGCATTCAAATTTCATGATGATTGATGGATATTGTTTTTATTAAGTTACAACTTAAAACCGACCCATGACTCTATTAAATGCAATTAATTAATTAGGGGAGATTTTCTTATTATTATTATTATTATTATTTCTTATTATTTTCTTATTATTTTCTTATTATTTTTATTTGATTCTATTTGTATGTATATAATTTTTTTTTTTTTTAAAAAAAAAAAAAAAAAGAAACCTTGCTCAAAATATTTCGCAAAGCTTATACTGCGGCAACGCACCTTTTTTTTTTTAAAAAAAAAGATTTACAATGTTAATGGTCCACGTGCAGATTACTTTGTTTTTTTTTAAAAAAAAAATAAATAAATTCGGAAACAATCTAGAGTACACATATTATATATTATATTGTTGAGGATACAAAGATAAATGGTATAATCTGACAATGAGCGTTTAAAATCTTGAAATCAAAGCCCATTTGCTTGTTGTTTTCAATTTTCTTTGTCTCTGTACATATTTTCTTTTTTTCCTTTTTTTCTTTTTGTCCCTTAACAAAGAATTAAGTAAATCATCATCATTGAATAAATTTACCGATCTCTCACCCTCCCCCCTTTTTTTTAACAAACACAGTACTAAATGGCAACAACTTTTGTTACTCAAAAACGTTTAATACTGCGGAAACCGTTGCTGCGGAAAGCATGACGAAACGGTGAATGTTTCTCGGATTATATAATCATCAATAAAAGTGAGTAAGCAATTTTCCACTTAAAGTATAGATCTCATCATGTAGGTTAAATATGGAAATTGGGAAAAAGAAATCTTCTCACGAATTCGTTTTTTTTTTTCTTGGAATCATGTCTAAAATTTCGGTTGACGTTAATAAAGCTGTCGGGCATAGATTTCCGCCGCAAAAGGTAAATCGATTAAGAGCGCACTTTGACTTAAATTTGAGATAAAATGACATGTTCATGTTCACAGGTTTCGTATAATAAACGAGATCTTATTTTATATGCTTTATCAATTGGAATTAAAGATGATGAATTAAATTACCTTTATGAATTAGGTTTGATTGACATTTACATTTCGTTTAAAAAAAAAAATGATGATGATGAAGCAGCGTTTATTAAACTTGTTTTTTTATTGATTTTAAATTTTAGATAAGAACTTTACACCATTTCCAACCTATCCGGTTGTATTAGAATTAAAAGGAGATTCGTCCGATGTAAATTTATTCGCAGAATCCGTGAATTCTGGTGGCCCAATACCAGGATTACCGGAATTGGACCCAAAAAACATGATTCATGGAGAACAAACTATTGAAATTTTAAATCCATTACCAACATCTGGTGAATTTGAAATACATGGTAAAGTCAATGGGGTATATGATAAAGGAAGTGGAATGTTATTAGAACGGGTAAACACTATGATCGATCCAAAAACTGGTAAAGAATATTGCGTTATGACAGTCCAATCTTTTATTATTGGTTACGGCGGGTTTGGAGGTCCAAAAGGTCAAAAGGGTCCAAGTTATCAACCACCCAAGGGTAAAAAACCTGATGCCATTGACGCTTCTCCAACTGGTTCAAATCAAGCTTTATTATATCGATTATCTGGGTAAGTCTGAAGTTAAACCGTAAAAAATACGATAACCGTTAATTTTTGATAAATTTGGTGATTTATTAACCTTACTTAATTTATTGATTTGTAGTGATTATAATCCACTTCATGCAGGTGTGTGTGTGATAAATTGACCTACTTCAATGTGTAAGATTAATGATTAAATTACGAACCTCATTCGTTTCCTTGTTAGATCCAACAATTGCGCCAAAAGTAGGCTTTGAAAGACCTATATTGCATGGATTATGTTCATTTGGATTTGCGGCGCATGCGATCGTTAAACATCTTGCAAATAACGATTCCAAATTATTTAAAAGTATTTCCGTGAGATTTACCTCCCCCGTCTACCCTGGTGATACCTTGGAAACATACATGTGGAAAGTACCTGGCGACAACCCGAATGAAACCAATGTCATCTTTAATACTAAAGCTAAGGAAAGAGATGTAATCGTTTTAGCTAATGGTTTGGCTGTATTAAAAAATGTAGGAGGTGTAGCAAAGTTGTGAACACTGGAATTTACTTCTCTTTTTTTTTTTAAAAAAAAAATAGTTTTATCATCCTTTTTTTTTTCGAATGATGTTCTCACTCTTTTCGAATACATATAAATAAATGAATTATTTCTTTTTTTTTAAAAAAAAAAAATAAAAAAAATAAAAAAAAAATGTTGGGTGTGGTTGGTCTTGATCTGGTTTTCTGTTGTGTTATCGTGTAATCTGTGGTTGCGCAGTAACTTCCATTCAAATTCCCAAATGAAGTGTATTATAAACAAACACTAATCCAATTAATTTACGATAAAAGGAATAAATTATCATTCAAATCAAATATTTATAGGTATTCCCTTTCAACAATTGACCTTACAATAAGGTTCATGAATGGTTTTTGTAATAATCTAAAATAAAAAAAAGGAAATTTTAATTTTGTATGGACGCTTTTAGTGTGACAATAACAAAAAAAGAATTGTTAGGTTGTGTGGCTTGTGTTTGTTTTGATGTTGGGGAATATTAATTAAGGACTCATTGACGAAACTTAAAGGGTGTTTTAATAGAAACAATAAAATGAAAAAGAAAATAACGCTAAATTTGGAATTCAATGAAAACAAAATTAAAGTTTAGGAACCTTATTTTTTTTTGGTCGAATGTATCGTACGGTTTTGTAACTTGGAGGGAATTGTAAATTGGTGCGTAAGTGAAAGGGAAAAAAAAAAAAATAAATAAATTTGATGCTACAGAGCGCGGTGACTTAGGGCACTAGGTTTTTTTTTTTTCTTTTTTTTTTTTTTCGATGTGTAAATAATAAAATTCCCGTGGACGATCCGAATTTTTAATTTGTGTAAATATTTGGATATTTTTTTCTTTTTTGATTTTTTCCTTTTTTTTGTTCAAATGAGAAAATGGATATGTTGTAATTCATACACGGAAGAATTTCAAATCAAACTTTATTTTGAATCATAAAAAAGATCAGTTCCTAAATAGGGATTTACCGGCATTTTCCATTAATGAATCTCATTTAAGAGAAATTTCGATGAACAAAAAAGAATTCACTTCAAGTATAAATTTAGAAGGTATCACACTCTGTAAAGAAAATTTTTAATTCTGCGATATACTAATTAGGAAATTTTGTAATGAAATCTCAAACCGATCAAAAAAAAACCGTTATACAAATAAATCCTTAATTCTTTTTGATTTTATCGTTTCCTTGATGTGATGACTTGGTGAATGATAGAGAATAAATAATTTGGAAAACCCGGTTGATTTTTCAAGCAAATGACAAAAAAAAAGGGGGGGGTTGGGATTTACAGAAGGAGGTTGCGAAGGAAAAAGAACAGCATGTTTTGGTGGGGCTTTCTGTTGCTCAACAAACAATATTAATCTCCCCTACTATTGTCGTACAGATTCCGTGGTTTCAAGTAATTTCAAGTTCATGGCATTGAAAATTTGCTTTCATGGAAATAATAAACATTAGAAGCAAGCTTTTACCAGAGTTTTAAAACAATACCTTTTACAGACTTGCTGTGCTACTGAAAGTGATACATTTGATTTTATATTAAATTCCCGATTGGACATGAAATTTCCAATTTTAGGTAATTTATGACGGTTAAGTTAATTTCTAATAATAAAAATCCATCATTTTTGTTTGAATAATGGTCATTTTAAATTCCGTGACCAAAGAAACGATCTTGGCGTAATGAATTTACCATTTTTGTTATCAACCCTCTATAACGATATTGAGATGTATGATGGGAACGCTGTCCCTTTTGGTGGTGGGTTTCTTTAATTAAGTCAAAGATGGTTAGTGATTCGACCAATTTTTATTGGCGGGGTTCCCAGGTTATCACGAGAACTTGACGTAATCATTGTGGTTTTAAAGTTTTCTTTCCCTTTTTTTTTTTAAGGCACAAAGCGCAACTCTGATAATTATATGACTGAATTTCAACATCATTGCATCCAACGAAGACGATTTTATACAACGGTTTTATTATTTATTATTTGTTTCTTGGGAAAGATAAGAAAAAAAAAATGTACATAATAGATATAATAAAAAATAATAATAATAATAATTAACTCTATAAGAATGATAAAAATCTTATATGTATCTTATATGTACAGTAAAGGTATCTAAATGCCTAATTATCAAATACTTCTAAAATGTAACTTATTCATGCTAAATTTGTGTATTATTTAAGGAGTAAAAAAAAATAAATTGCGCCAATTAAATTTAACTAAAAAAAAAAAAACTGAACAGCCTTCATTAGATCCATTTTACTTGCATAAAAAATTCCCATAATTTACTTGCTTTATTCACATCAATTCTAAGAAGTTTCTGTGCGTCACTTTTACGGAAAGGGAGCGATTTTTGTATGTACCTTCGGGCAGATGAAACCAAAGTATTCTTTGCCGTCAGGTACTGAACAGGTGTGAGTCGAAGCGTCGAAGCCACAATTGCCTCTTTTGGATGTAAAGAATTGTAATGCGGAAGATGTGAAATCGATAAAGGTTGTCCTTTCCAGTTAATTCTTGGATTTATTTTGCTTAATAATTCTGTTGTGAGACCTAACTGATCAATGCTCTTCACCAATTCATCAAATAACATTGGGGGCGGAGGTGGGATACGAATTTGTTTAATTTCACCTGCAACTGTCGAAACAGGATTAAAAGTTGTTTCTATTAAGCCACGATCTGCCATCACTCTTGCGAGACTGTTTCCCTTGCGTTTTCTTTCAGAGATATGATTTTTCGATCGCTTTGTCTTTGTTTTATGCTGTTTCCTTTGTTTCTTGGATAGTGATCTCTGTGGGCTTGGACTCTGCGGCGGTGATGATTCTGATGATGAGAATTCGCTGAATAACAAGCTCGTCGAATTGGAATTCGTTGGGGGATCATCACTCTTCAAAAGCGACGCCGGATCCTCTTTGAATGGCGTAAAAACGTCTACTTTAAGGGTTATCCCTGGTGAGGATTTTGAAGGTGCCTTCTTTGGATAAGGATTCTTCCTAGAACGATTTTGTCGTTTATCGGAAATGATCTTGCGAGTTGTTGTTTGTTGCCCCGTTGTTGTATTTGGCGTCATGATCATACGACCTTTGTTATGACTCGAGGGTGTGGCAAATGAGGAACCATTTCTATCATTTGTACCACCCACGATGTCGGTGACCGCAGTTCGCTTATTATTCGGCGAAATGACGGCTTTGTTTTTCTCCTCTTCGGAAGTTTTGATAAATTCCAAGAGTTCTGGTGGGGCTTCAAAGAGTCTCATTCGATACCTTTTACGAGGAATTGTGGTCCTTGAATCTTCTTGAATAAATGCGATTTTTGAGGTGGTTTCCAAATTAGGCTGCTGCTGCGGTGATTCTTGTAATTGTTGCCCTTGCTCTTCAAGGGATTTATTATTCGATTCATCTTCGTCATTTGATGCCGCACTTGTAAGGGTATTTTTTTTGGGAGAAAGAGGAGGTGACATGGGTGTAATCGCTTTCAATTCTGAATCATTTGAACTCTGCATGCAATGGGAAGACATTTTTTTTTTTTTTTTTTTTGAGTAAATTTTTTATTTGAGGGAGATAATTTTTTATTATATAATTTTTTTTTCTATTGAAATTGGGGCTTAAAAAAAAAATTTTTTTTTTTTTTCAACAAGAATTATCTCCTGTCCTGTTTAAATAAATAAATAATGATGAATCCGGAATAGATAGTAAATGTACTCCGATAAAATAAAACTAAAATCGGATTTCAAGGAAATGTTATCTTTTGTTTTGATAATTATGTTAACTATGTAAAAAGGAACTTTATATTTCTTTTTTTTTTTTGCAAAATCTTATTTTTTTTCAAATAGATTTACGATAATGTCGAAAAAAAAAAAAAATTGTGCGGTAGGAATTCTCTTTTAATCAAAAAAAATGAAATTTTCAGAGGGGAGAAGGGGAAGATAGTAATTTTTTTTTTTTTTTGCAATGGTGTGCTATATTATATAAAAATTTGGAATAAATGGGACGAGAAAAAAAAAATTTTTTTTTTTTTTTTTTTTTTTTTTTTCAAAATTTTTTAAACGTGGAGTTAAACTAGGCCTTAACATATAAATACTTTTTTTTTTTTTTTTTTTTTTTTTTTTTTTTATATATTAAAAAAGTGGATAATTTAGATTCCGATTTTTATAATGACATAAATAAATTACAATTGAATAAAAAAAAAAAATTGTACCCCCCAAAAAGTCAACCCATAATATATATTAAATAATAAAATAAGTTTGGAAAGAAACAATTCAAATATTTTTGACGGAGATTGTAGAACTTTTTTTTTTTTTTTTATTTATTTTTTGGTCATTGAATGAAAAAGTAGTTAGCGCCTATTATCTAGCAGATTGCTATATCAAGTTGATTAAATTTTTATTTTAGTATTTATTTTGTTCCTTTCCTTTCATAATTTTTAGATTTATGATTTCTAAATATATTAGTTATTGAAGATGCTTTTTAGATTAATAATTTATGTATGTAAATTAAATATTAAAGTGATGATTGTTTAATTAACACTACACTTAATAATAAATATTGTTTTACAATAAAAAAAAAATTGAAATTTATTTTAAAAAAAAGTACTGAAAATACTGATAAAAACAGAAATGCCAATAGACTACCATTAAGATGTTTATGTTTATAGATGATTGTATGTGGTATGCCGTAACAATTTAAAACGTAAGAATGGTGGCAATGTGGCAAATCATCGTAATAGATTTTTTTTTTTTAAAAAAAAAAAAATTGGATTAGGAATTGTCCTTTTTCTTTCAACCATTTTTATTTTTTTATTTTTTTTTAAAATAGAAAAACATTCAAGAATTTTTTTTTTTTTTTAAAAAAAAAATTACAAGTTGTTGCTCAAAATGTCAAAGACAAGTTTTTTTTTTTTTTTATTTATGAGAATTAATATGGATCGTCCGTTTTTGTTCCTCATTTGTTGAAAATATAAAAAAGGTTTGTTTCATTTTAAATTAAGGAGCACAACATATATATTCGGAG